ACTCAGTAACCACCTGCAACACCACACTCAGTAACCACCTGCAACACCACACATTGTAACCACCTGCAACACCACACATTGTAACCACCTGCAACACCACACAGTAACCACCTGCAACACCACACAGTAACCACCTGCAACACCACACAGTAACCACCTGCAACACCACACAGTAACCACCTGCAACACCACACAGTAACCACCTGCAACACTCAGTAACCACCTGCAACACCCACACAGTAACCACCTGCAACACCACACTCAGTAACCACCTGCAACACCACACAGTAACCACCTGCAACACCACACAGTAACCACCTGCAACACCACACATTGTAACCACCTGCAACACTCAGTAACCACCTGCAACACCACACAGTAACCACCTGCAACACCACACTCAGTAACCACCTGCAACACCACACTCAGTAACCACCTGCAACACCACACAGTAACCACCTGTAACACCACACTCAGTAACCACCTGCAACACCACACAGTAACCACCTGCAACACCACACAGTAACCACCTGCAACACCACACTCAGTAACCACCTGCAACACCACACATTGTAACCACCTGCAACACTCAGTAACCACCTGCAACACTCAGTAACCACCTGCAACACTCAGTAACCACCTGTAACACCACACTCAGTAACCACCTGCAACACCACACATTGTAACCACCTGCAACACCACACATTGTAACCACCTGCAACACTCAGTAACCACCTGCAACACCACACTCAGTAACCACCTGCAACACCACACTCAGTAACCACCTGCAACACCACACATTGTAACCACCTGCAACACCACACATTGTAACCACCTGCAACACTCAGTAACCACCTGCAACACCACACTCAGTAACCACCTGCAACACCACACATTGTAACCACCTGCAACACCACACATTGTAACCACCTGCAACACCACACATTGTAACCACCTGCAACACTCAGTAACCACCTGCAACACCACACTCAGTAACCACCTGCAACACCGCACATTGTAACCACCTGCAACACTCAGCAACCACCTGCAACACCACACTCAGTAACCACCTGCAACACCACACTCAGTAACCACCTGCAACACTCAGCAACCACCTGCAACACCACACTCAGTAACCACCTGCAACACCACACTCAGTAACAACCTGCAACACCACACTCAGTAACCACCTGCAACACCACACTCAGTAACCACCTGCAACACCGCACTCAGTAACCACCTGCAACACCACACATTGTAACCACCTGCAACACCACACTCAGTAACCACCTGCAACACCACACATTGTAACCACCTGCAACACCACACAGTAACCACCTGCAACACCACACAGTAACCACCTGCAACACCACACTCAGTAACCACCTGCAACACCACACAGTAACCACCTGCAACACCACACATTGTAACCACCTGCAACACTCAGTAACCACCTGCAACACCACACAGTAACCACCTGCAACACCACACTCAGTAACCACCTGCAACACCACACAGTAACCACCTGCAACACCACACAGTAACCACCTGCAACACCACACATTGTAACCACCTGCAACACTCAGTAACCACCTGCAACACCACACAGTAACCACCTGCAACACCACACTCCGTAACCACCTGCAACACCACACTCAGTAACCACCTGCAACACCACACAGTAACCACCTGCAACACCACACTCAGTAACCACCTGCAACACCACACAGTAACCACCTGCAACACCACACAGTAACCACCTGCAACACCACACTCAGTAACCACCTGCAACACCACACATTGTAACCACCTGCAACACTCAGTAACCACCTGCAACACTCAGTAACCACCTGCAACACTCAGTAACCACCTGAAACACCACACTCAGTAACCACCTGCAACACCACACATTGTAACCACCTGCAACACCACACATTGTAACCACCTGCAACACTCAGTAACCACCTGCAACACCACACTCAGTAACCACCTGCAACACCACACTCAGTAACCACCTGCAACACCACACATTGTAACCACCTGCAACACCACACATTGTAACCACCTGCAACACTCAGTAACCACCTGCAACACCACACTCAGTAACCACCTGCAACACCACACATTGTAACCACCTGCAACACCACACATTGTAACCACCTGCAATACCACACATTGTAACCACCTGCAACACTCAGTAACCACCTGCAACACCACACTCAGTAACCACCTGCAACACCGCACATTGTAACCACCTGCAACACTCAGCAACCACCTGCAACACCACACTCAGTAACCACCTGCAACACCACACTCAGTAACCACCTGCAACACTCAGCAACCACCTGCAACACCACACTCAGTAACCACCTGCAACACCACACTCAGTAACAACCTGCAACACCACACTCAGTAACCACCTGCAACACCACACTCAGTAACCACCTGCAACACCGCACTCAGTAACCACCTGCAACACCACACATTGTAACCACCTGCAACACCACACTCAGTAACCACCTGCAACACCACACATTGTAACCACCTGCAACACCACACATTGTAACCACCTGCAACACCACACTCAGTAACCACCTGCAACACCGCACTCAGTAACCACCTGCAACACCACACTCAGTAACCACCTGCAACACCACACATTGTAACCACCTGCAACGCCACACTCAGTAACCACCTGCTACACCACACATTGTAACCACCTGCAACACACCAGGTCCACCTGCAACACACCAGGTCCACCTGCAACACACCAGGTCCACCTGCAACACACCAGGTCCACCTGCAACACACCAGGTCCACCTGCAACACACAGCAATTCCCTGCAACACACAGCAACTCCCTGCAACACACCAGGTCCACCTGCAACACACAGCAACCACCTGCAACACACCAGGTCCACCTGCAACACACCAGGTCCCCCTGCAACACACCAGGTCCCCCTGCAACACACCAGGTCCCCCTGCAACACACCAGGTCCACCTGCAACACACCAGGTCCACCTGCAACACACCAAGTCCACCTGCAACACACCAGGTCCACCTGCAACACACCAGGTCCACCTGCAACACACAGCAATTCCCTGCAACACACCAGGTCCACCTGCAACACACAGCAACCACCTGCAACACACCAGGTCCACCTGCAATACACAGCAATTCCCTGCAACACACCAGGTCCACCTGCAACACACCAGGTCCACCTGCAACACACAGCAATTCCCTGAAACACACCAGGTCCACCTGCAACACACAGCAATCACCTGCAACACACCAGGTCCACCTGCAACACACAGCAACCACCTGCAACACACAGCAACTCCCTGCTACACACAGCAACTCCCTGCAACACACAGCAACTCCCTGCAACACACCAGGTCCACCTGCAACACACAGCAATTCCCTGCAACACACCAGGTCCACCTGCAACACACAGCAACCACCTGCAACACACCAGGTCCACCTGCAACACACAGCAACCACCTGCAACACACCAGGTCCATCTGCAACACACAGCAACCACCTGCAACACACCAGGTCCACCTGCAACACACAACCTGCAACACACTAGGTCCACCTGCAACACACAGCAACACACAGCAACCACCTGCAACACACAAGGTCCACCTGCAACACACAGCAACACACAGCAACTCCCTGCAACACACAGCAACCACCTGCAACACACCAGGTCCACCTGCAACACACAGCAATCACCTGCAACACACAGCAACCACCTGCAACACACAGCAACCACCTGCAACACACAGCAACCACCTGCAACACACAAGGTCCACCAGCAACACACCAGGTCCACCTGCAACACACAGCAACTCCCTGCAACACACAGCAACCACCTGCAACACACCAGGTCCACCTGCAACACACAGCAACTCCCTGCAACACACCAGGTCCACCTGCAACACACAGCAACCACCTGCAACACACCAGGTCCACCTGCAACACACCAGGTCCACCTGCAACACACAGCAACCACCTGCAACACACCAGGTCCACCTGCAACACACAGCAACCACCTGCAACACACCAGGTCCACCTGCAACACACGGCAACCACCTGCAACACACCAGGTCCACCTGCAACACACGGCAACCACCTGCAACACACCAGGTCCACCTGCAACACACAGCAACCACCTGCAACACACAGCAACCACCTGCAACACACAACACCCTGCAACACACCAGGTCCACCTGCAACACACAGCAACCACCTGCAACACACCAGGTCCACCTGCAACACACAGCAACCACCTGCAACGCACAAGGTCCACCTGCAACACACAGCAACACCCTGCAACACACCAGGTCCACCTGCAACACACCAGGTCCACCTGCAACACACAGCAACCACCTGCAACACACCAGGTCCACCTGCAACACACAGCAACACCCTGCAACAGACTCTCGGCACCGGCTTATGTCTTGTGAACTTCATAAACGTTGCAAAATGTGAAAATGACGTAAGATTTACGGCCGTTACATTTGCATAATGTTGCACCTGAGAACGCCCGCTGTTCCCCGACCGGCGGATAGTTGTGCAGGACGTGACCCGACGTTCACTTGGACGACGGTTGTGAACTGGACAGGCTCCCACTGGCTCCAGGAGGCTTCCACTAGCTCTAGGAGTCCCCCACTGGCTCCAAGAGGCTCCAGGAGGCTCCCACTGGCTCCAGGAGGCTTCTACTGGCTCCAGGAGGCTTCTACTGGCTCCAGGAGGCTCCCACTGGCTCCAAGAGTCTCCCACTGGCTCCAGAAGGCTGCCACTGGCTCCAGGAAACTCCCATTGGCTCCAGAAGGCTTCCACTGGCTCCAAGAGTCTCCCACTGGCTCCAGGAGGCTCCCACTGGCTCCAGGAGGCTTCTACTGGCTCCAGGAGTCTCCCATTGGCTCCAGGAGGCTTCCACTGGCTCCAAGAGTCTCCCACTGGCTCCAGGAGGCTCCCACAGGCTCCAGGAGGCTTCTACTGGCTCCAGGAGTCTCCCACTGACTCCAGGAAGCTTCCACTGGCTCCAGGAGTCTCCCACTGGATCCAGGAGTCTCCCACTGGCTCCAGGAAGCTTCCACTGGCTCCAGGAGTCTCCCACTGGCTCCAGGAGTCTCCCACTGGCTCCAGGAGTCTCCCACTGGCTCCAGGAGTCTCCCACTGACTCCAGGAAGCTTCCACTGGCTCCAGGAGTCTCCCACTGGCTCCAGGAGTCTCCCACTGGCTCCAGGAGTCTCCCCACTGACTCCAGGAAGCTTCCACTGGCTCCAGGAAGCTCCCACTGGCTCCAGGAGTCTCCCACTGGCTCCAGGAGTCTCCCACTGACTCCAGGAAGCTTCCACTGGCTCCAGGAGTCTCCCACTGGCTCCAGGAGTCTCCCACTGGCTCCAGGAGTCTCCCACTGGCTCCAGGAGTCTCCCACTGGCTCCAGGAGTCTCCCACTGGCTCCAGGAGTCTCCCACTGGCTCCAGGAGTCTCCCACTGACTCCAGGAAGCTTCCACTGGCTCCAGGAAGCTCCCACTGGCTCCAGGAGTCTCCCACTGGCTCCAGGAGTCTCCCACTGGCTCCAGGAGTCTCCCACTGACTCCAGGAAGCTTCCACCGGCTCCAGGAGTCTCCCACTGGCTCCAGGAGTCTCCCACTGGCTCCAGGAGTCTCCCACTGACTCCAGGAAGCTTCCACTGGCTCCAGGAAGCTCCCACTGGCTCCAGGAGTCTCCCACTGGCTCCAGGAGTCTCCCACTGGCTCCAGGAGTCTCCCACTGACTCCAGGAAGCTTCCACTGGCTCCAGGAGTCTCCCACTGGCTCCAGGAGTCTCCCACTGGCTCCAGGAGTCTCCCACTGGCTCCAGGAGTCTCCCACTGGCTCCAGGAGTCTCCCACTGGCTCCAGGAGTCTCCCACTGGCTCCAGGAGTCTCCCACTGACTCCAGAAGCTTCCACTGGCTCCAGGAAGCTCCCACTGGCTCCAGGAGTCTCCCACTGGCTCCAGGAGTCTCCCACTGGCTCCAGGAGTCTCCCACTGGCTCCAGGAGTCTCCCACTGGCTCCAGGAGGCTCCCACTGGCTCCAGAAGTCTCCCACTGACTCCAGAAGCTTCCACTGGCTCCAGGAGTCTCCCACTGACTCCAGGAAGCTTCCACTGGCTCCAGGAGTCTCCCACTGGCTCCAGGAGTCCTCCCACTGGCTCCAGGAGTCTCCCACTGACTCCAGGAAGCTTCCACTGGCTCCAGGAAGCTCCCACTGGCTCCAGGAGTCTCCCACTGGCTCCAGGAGTCTCCCACTGGCTCCAGGAGTCTCCCACTGACTCCAGGAAGCTTCCACTGGCTCCAGGAGTCTCCCACTGGCTCCAGGAGTCTCCCACTGGCTCCAGGAGTCTCCCACTGGCTCAAGGAGGCTCCCACTGGCTCCAGGAGTCTCCCACTGGCTCCAGGAGTCTCCCACTGACTCCAGGAAGCTTCCACTGGCTCCAGGAGTCTCCCACTGACTCCAGGAAGCTTCCACTGGCTCCAGGAGTCTCCCACTGACTCCAGGAAGCTTCCACTGGCTCCAGGAGTCTCCCACTGGCTCCAGGAGTCTCCCACTGGCTCCAGGAGGCTCCCACTGGCTCCAGGAGGATCTCACTGGCTCCAGGAGGCTCCCACTACCTCTATCCCTACACAGAAAATTCTGGATAGTCAAATTGGCGACACAAACCCTCCTAAACTGGTCATCAATTGCGCAAACATGTAAAAACATCTTCCAGAGACTTTAGGCAGAGAAGGAGTCAGCCATTTACCCCGACCTGAGGGCACTCCAGGAGCCCCGCCACACCCTGAGGGCACACCAGGGGCCCCACCACTCCCTGAGGGCACACCAGGGGCCCCACCACACCCTGAGGGCACACCAGGGGCCCCACCAGGGGAGAGATTGCTGAAATAGAGGGAATACAGAGAACATATACGGCACGCATAGACGCAATAAAGCACCTAAATTATTGGGATCGTCTCAAAGCTCTCCAAATGTACTCACTAGAAAGAAGACGAGAGAGATATCAAATAATATACACGTGGAAGATACTGGAGGGCCAAGTACCAAATCTACACAGTAAAATAACAACGTACTGGAGTGAACGATATGGAAGAAAATGTAGAATAGAACCAGTGAAGAGCAGAGGTGCCATAGGCACAATCAGAGAACACTGTATAAACATCAGAGGTCCGCGGTTGTTCAACGTCCTCCCAGCAAGCATAAGAAATATTGCCGGAACAACCGTGGACATCTTCAAGAGGAAACTAGATATATTCCTCCAAGGAGTGCCGGACCAACCGGGCTGTGGTGGGTATGTGGGCCTGCGGGCCGCTCCAAGCAACAGTCTGGTGGACCAAACTCTCACAAGTCAAGTCTGGCCTCGGGCTGAGTTTGGGGAGAAGAAGAACTCCCAGAACCCCATCAACCAGGTATCACACCCTGAGGGCACACCAGGGGCCCCACCACACCCTGAGGGCACACCAGGGGCCCCACCACACCCTGAGGGCACACCAGGGGCCCCATCACACCCTGAGGGCACACCAGGGGCCCCACCACACCCTGAGGGCACACCAGGGGCCCCATCACACCCTGAGGACACACCAGGAGCCCCACCACACCCTGAGGGCACACCAGGGGCCCCATCACACCCTGAGGACACACCAGGGGCCCCACCACACCCTGAGGGCACACCAGGGGCCCCACCACACCCTGAGGACACACCAGGAGCCCCACCACACCCTGAGGGCACACCAGGGGCCCCACCACACCCTGAGGGCACACCAGGGGCCCCATCACACCCTGAGGGCACACCAGGGGCCCCACCACACCCTGAGGGCACACCAGGGGCCCCACCACACCCTGAGGGCACACCAGGGGCCCCACCACACCCTGAGGGCACACCAGGGCCCCACCACACCTGAGGGCACATCAGGGCCCCACCACACCATGAGGGCACACCAGTGGCCCCACCACACCCTGAGGGCACACCAGGGCCCCACCACACCCTGAGGGCACACCAGGGGCCCTACCACACCCTGAGGGCACACCAGTGGCCCCACCACACCCTGAGGGCACACCAGGGCCCCACCACACCCTGAGGCACACCAGGGGCCCCACCACACCCTGAGGGCACACCAGGGGCCCCACCACACCCTGAGGGCACACCAGGGGCCCCACCACACCCTGAGGGCACACCAGGGACACCACCACACCCTGAGGGCACACCAGGGACCCCACCACACCCTGAGGGCACACCAGGGGCCCCACCACACCCTGAGGGCACACCAGGGGCCCTACCACACCCTGAGGGCACACCAGGGCCCCACCACACCCTGAGGGCACACCAGGGGCCCCACCACACCCTGAGGGCACATCAGGGGCCCCACCACACCCTGAGGGCACACCAGGGGCCCCACCAGACCCTGAGGCCACACCAGGGGCCCCACCACACCCTGAGGGCACACCAGGGGCCCCACCACACCCTGAGGGCACACCAGGGACCCCACCACACCCTGAGGGCACACCAGGGGCCCCACCACACCCTGAGGGCACACCAGGGCCCCACCACACCCTGAGGGCACACCAGGGCCCCACCACACCCTGAGGGCACACCAGGGACACCACCACACCCTGAGGGCACACCAGGGACCCCACCACACCCTGAGGCACACCAGGGCCCCACCACACCCTGAGGGCACACCAGGGGCCCCACCACACCCTGAGGCACAACCAGGGGCCCCACCACACCCTGAGGGCACACCATGGCCCCACCACACCCTGATTGCACACCAGGGACACCACCACACCCTGAGGGCCACCAGGGCCCACCACACCCTGAGGGCACACCAGGGACCCCACCACACCCTGAGGGCACACCAGGGACCCCACCACACCCTGAGAGCACACCAGGGACCCCACCACACCCTGAGGACACACCAGGGGCCCCACCACACCCTGAGGGCACACCAGGGACCCCACCACACCCTGAGGACACACCAGGGGGCCCCACCACACCCTGAGGGCACACCAGGGGCCCCACCAAACCCTGAGGGCACACCAGGGGCCCCACCAAACCCTGATGAGGGCAGGGCGTGGTGGGGACACTTGACAGCTGGTATCATGTACCAGCTGTCATGTATCGTGCACCAGCTGTCATGTATCATGTACCAGCTGTCATGTATCATGTACCAGCTGTCATGTATCATGTACCTGGAGGAAACATGGAGGTACTTCAACCCGTCCTCCTCTATACATAGTACTTACACTATGTGAACCATCGTACATATAATGGCCAATTAGAAAGCAGAATTTGGTACATGCAATATTATATAGTCTGGGAAAATCAAGGGAAAATCAAACTCAAATATTCCTAGGCCTAGTATAGCACATGTATGTATTATATTAGGCCTCGGATAGCTTGTATTAGGCTTTCGATAGTTAGGTTTTATTAGTCACATATAAAAGACCTTTTAATTTTTTTATTTTGCCGCGAAGGGCGAGTTTTTTGGGCAGCGTCACTCATCCTGTGAGTGGACACACCGCCATAGTGACAGTATTGGGCAGCGCCACTCATCCTGTGAGTGGACACACCGCCATAGTGACAGTATTGGGCAGCACCACTCATCTTGTGAGTGGACACACCGCCATAGTGACAGTATTGGGCAGCGTCACTCATCCTGTGAGTGGACACACCGCCATAGTGACAGTATTGGGCAGCGCCACTCATCCTGTGAGTGGACACACCGCCATAGTGACAGTATTGGGCAGCGCCACTCATCCTGTGAGTGGACACACCGCCTTAGTGACAGTATTGGGCAGCGTCACTCATCCTGTGAGCTGACACACCGCCATAGTGACAGTATTGGGCAGCGCCACTCATCCTGTGAGTGGACACACCGCCATAGTGACAGTATTGGGCAGCGCCACTCATCCTGTGAGTGGACACACCGCCATAGTGACAGTATTGGCAGCGCCACTCATCCTGTGAGTGAATTCACCGCCATAGTGACAGTATTGGGCAGCGCCACTCATCCTGTGAGTGGACACACCGCCATAGTGACAGTATTGGGCAGCGCCACTCATCTTGTGAGTGGACACGCCGCCATAGTGACAGTATTGGGCAGCGCCACTCATCCTGTGAGTGGACACACCGCCATAGTGACAGTATTGGGCAGCGCCACTCATCCTGTGAGTGGACACACCGCCATAGTGACAGTATTGGGCAGCGCCACTCATCCTGTGGTGGACACACGGCCATAGTGACAGTATTGGGTAGCGCCACTCATCCTGTGAGTGGACACACCGCCATAGTGACAGTATTGGGCAGCGCCACTCATCCTGTGAGTGGACACACCACCATAGTGACAGTATTGGGCAGCGCCACTCATCCTGTGAGTGGACACACCGCCATAGTGACAGTATTGGGCAGCGCCACTCATCCTGTGAGTGGACACACCGCCTTAGTGACAGTATTGGGCAGCGTCACTCATCCTGTGAGCTGACACACCGCCATAGTGACAGTATTGGGCAGCGCCACTCATCCTGTGAGTGGACACACCGCCATAGTGACAGTATTGGGCAGCGCCACTCATCCTGTGAGTGGACACACCGCCATAGTGACAGTATTGGGCAGCGCCACTCATCCTGTGAGTGAATTCACCGCCATAGTGACAGTATTGGGCAGCGCCACTCATCCTGTGAGTGGACACACCGCCATAGTGACAGTATTGGGCGGCGCCACTCATCCTGTGAGTGAATTCACCGCCATAGTGACAGTATTGGGCAGCGTCACTCATCCTGTGAGTGGACACACCGCCATAGTGACAGTATTGGGCAGCGCCACTCATCTTGTGAGTGGACATACCGCCATAGTGACAGTATTGGGCAGCGCCACTCATCTTGTGAGTGGACACGCCGCCATGGTGACAGTATTGGGCAGAGCCACTCATCCTGTGAGTGGACACACCGCCGTAGTGACAGTATTGGGCAGCGCCACTCATACTGTGAGTGGACACGCCGCCATAGTGACAGTATTGGGCAGCGCCACTCATCCTGTGAGTGGACACACCCGCCATAGTGACAGTATTGGGCAGCGCCACTCATCCTGTGAGTGGACACACCGCC